TCAAAAAAGAGGAAAGAAACAAAATCAACACTCTAACTCATCAACTCCAACAACTAGAAAAAGAACAACAAAAGACTCCTACAGTATCTAGAAGCAAGGAAATAATAAAGATCAGAGCAGAAATAAATGAAGCAGAAAACAAAACAAGACCAAAAAAAAAAAAAAAAAAAAAAAAAAAAAAAAAAAAAAAAAAAAAAAAAAAAATCAACAAAACAAAAAGCTGGTTCTTTGAAAAGATTAATAAAATCGACAAACCATTGGCAGATCTAACAAAAGAAAAGAAAGAGAAGATCCAAATCACAAGAATTATAAACGAAAATGGTGTCATCACAACAGAACCAACCAAAATAAAGATACTGACAAAATATTATGAAAAACTGTATTCCAACAGATTTGAGAACCTACAAGAGATGGACAAGTTTCTAGAATCACAAAACCTACCTAAACTATCCCACTGAGAGATAGAAAACTTGAACAAACTGATAACAAAAAAAGAAATTGAACAGGTCATAAAAAAACTTCCCACAAAGAAAAGCCCTGACCCTGATGGCTTCACTGGAGAATTTTATCAAATATTCAGAAAAGAACTGACACCTATGCTACTCAAGCTATTCCAGAACATAGAAAAAGATGGAATACTCCCAAACTCATTTTATGAAGCAAGCACAACACTAATACCAAAACCAGGGAAAGACACAACTAGAAAGGAAAACTACAGACCAATATCCTTCATCAACATAGATGCAAAAATCTTTAACAAAATCCTAGCCAAAAGAATCCAACAACATATCAAAAAATTAATATACCAGACCAAGTGGGATTCATTCCAGGTTTACAAGGGTGGTTCAACATTAGAAAATCAATCAATGTAATCCACCACATAAACAAAACAAAAGAACCATATGATTGTATCAATTGATGCAGAAAAGGCATTTGATAAAATCCAACATCCATTCCTGGTCAGAACTCTTAGCAAAAAAGAGATCGAGGGGAAGTTCCTCAATATAATAAAGGGTATATATGCAAAGCCAGTGGCCAACATCGTTATTAGTGGAGAAAGACTCAAGGCATTCCCCTTATAAATGGGAACCAGACAGGGATGCCCTGTATCACCACTTCTATTTAACATTGTATTGGAAGTCCTGGCCAGGGCAATAAGGCAAGAAAGAGAAATAAAAGGCATACAAATTGGCAATCTAATTGAAAAATGGGCAGAAGACATGAACAGATGTTTTACTGAAGAAGACATTTAGGTGGCTAACAAACAACATGAAGAAATGCTTATTATCATTAGTCATTAACTCACTGCCGTCAGGTCGAATCCGACTCATAGTGACCCCTCCTTGGTTTTCCAAAGTGGTATCGCTACAGAAGTAGATTGCCCAATCTTCCCTTCTGAGGAGTGGCTGCATAAGTCATTAGAGAGATGCAAATCAAAACAAAAATGATATATCATCTTACATACACATTAATAGCAAAGTTCAAAAATAAGATAACAAATCCTGGCAAGGGTATGGAGAGACTGGATCACTCATACACTGTTAGTGGGATTGTAAAATAGTACAACCACTGTGGAAAGTTGTGTGGTGCTTCCTTAAGAAATTGGTAATAGAAATACCATATGATTCAGTAATTTTACTACTAGGTATATATATTAGAGAAAGAAAAGTTGGTTACACAAACAGAAACATGCATATCCATTTCATCACAGCATTATTCACAATAGCAAAAAGATGAAAACAACCTAAGTGCCCATCAACAGATGAATGGATAAACAAACTAGGGTACACACACACAATGTAATACTATACAATGTTAAAGAATAACAATGAATCTGCAAAACACCTCATAACATGGATAAACCTAGAGGACATTTTGCTGAGTGAAATTGTTGTTGTTGTTGTGTTTGCCGTCGAGTCGGACCCGACTCATAGCGACCCCTCCTTGGGTTTCCGAGGCAGTATCACTACGGAAGTAGATTACCCCATCTTCCTTCCGAGGAGTGGCTAGTGGATTTGAACCACCAGCCTTCTGGTTAGCAGTCTAGTGCCGTAGCCACTATGCTACCAGAGCTCCCTGAGTGAAATTAGTCAATCACAAAAGGACAATTATTGTATGAGGCCACTACTGTAAAAAGTTAGGTTTAAGACAGAAAGCATTGTTCTTTGAAAGTTACCAGGGTGGGAGGGGAAAAGGGGGAAAAATCACCAATTAGAGGATAGACGTATATTAACTTGGGTGAAGGGAAAGGCAAAACACAATAAAGGGGAGGTCAGCACAGAATGATCAAGGCAGTAGAAGACATAGGGAGGAGAACAAGAGTTAAAAGCAACAGAGGTGAATAGTATTACATACACAATTCTGCAATAATATTAATAATGATAAGTTAGGAGTGGCTACACAGATAGACAGTCTTAACATACACACAATGTGTATGTGAATGGGACTACATCCACAAATATATATAGGTTTGACAAAGACTATCTCTACCTATGTATATATATGTGCTGCAAATATATCCATGAATGTAGTAGAGCATACAGAGGAAAACTTATGTAAACATCTTAGTCATAACCATACACTTTCAGGGAATGAGTTGCTGTGTATGGAGGCTCAGGCCATATTCCTGGAGGACACTAAGCCCAATTGGCATAACACAGTCTGCAAAGACAATGTTTTATATCCTGCTTTGGTGAATAGTGACTAGGGTCTTAAAAGCTTATGAGCGGCCATCTAAGGTGCAACTATTGGTCTCCCCCTGTCCAGAGCAAAGAAGAGTGAAGCAAATCTAAGACACAGGAAACAATTAGTCCAAAGGACTAATGGAGCATATGAGCCCCAACCTCCATGACCCTGAGATGAGAAGAACTAGATGGTGCCTGGCTACCACTGTTGACCACTTTGAAAGGGATCACATTGAGAGATCCCGGATAGAGTGGAGGAAAATGTAGAACAAAACTCAAAATCATAAAAAAGACCAGGTTTTCTGATCTGATGAAGACTGGTGGAACTTCTGAGACTATGACCCTTAGACACCCTTCAAGCTACAAACTGAACTTAACCCCTGCCAGCCAAAAGAATGGACAGCTATAAGGGGAACAATAATCATATCAGGAGGGAATGCACTCATTGGAATAATCAAGCATATGTGATCAAGAGGACAGCATTTGCCTGGTAATAGAGCTACGAAGGCAGGAGAAAATGGGAAGGAAGGTCGAAGGGGTGGGTGCAGGCAGGAAGTAGGAAGAATGGTATTACAGTGTGGGGACTGCAGTAAATGTCATGAAACAGAAAGTGTATGGATTGTTGAATGGAAAATCCATTTGCTCTGTAAATTTTCACCCAAATCACAATTAAAAAAATTAAAATAAGTGTCCTTATTTTAAATTTCCCTCTGGACCTGACTGGCCCTAAATAAGATAGTGAAGAAAAGCTATGAAAGAGGTAATTCATCTTGGAAATGAATTTGGGACCCTACAATTTGAGGCTTATCTACTATGATACTTAGGAAACTACTGGCACCACCTTTATTGTAAATTCCCATAGGATCTAAGGTTTATTGCCCCCCAATCTAATTCTCTTTGAAACACATGACAATAAACTCTTGCCAGAGGAGAAAGCAATAATCTCAATGATGTAGTTTTAATTTTTAACAAGTCTTTTATTTAAACACTGCCTGCTGATTTGAAGGTCAGTTTCAGAGTAAGCATGGAACATGCTAGAGAAAAAGTTTTGGTTCCAGAACCTTTTTCTGTCCTATCTTGATGTTTTCAGACATTTTTGCCCTGCTGACTAAAAGTGATTTAGGATTCTCTGTCAGGACTTCACAGGTTGAGCTATTCTGAGACTGAATAATGTATTTGCTTCCAAAATTTTTTTTCTTTTTACTATCAGTTCTCCAAACTCCACAACCCCTGGTAACACTTCCTAACTCTTGCTTCTTCATCTGAGCCCTACAAAATGATTTGGCAATTTCTCCATGATCATGATCCCAGATACATAATGTTTTTTGAACAATGGAGAAAATTCATCAAGAAAATAGTCTCTCACTCCGTCATTCTACTGTTTAATGGACCTTAAAGCCAGAAGTTTTAATCTCCTAAAATTTGTACTTTTGGGCTTACGATACCTAGAAATTAATTGGTTATATTCTGTATTATTAGCACATCAGAAATTCTAACACTTTGGCCTTCTCTTTGCAAAATAATTTGGCATTTTATATATATATTTTTTCCTTAGGATTCCTTAAAAATTCTACAGTCCTCTATGTGTCTGTTTTTGGTAAATAGTCAAGGTATATTTATCCCCAGAGGTGATAGTTGTAATGCTTGGCCCAACACTCCAGTACAATTCCTCCATCACGCATGCTTCTGAAGCTTCTCTGCCACATGTCATCAGGTTGTCTAGCCAGTGCTCTGGTGGCATAGTGCCTAAGGCACTTGACTGCTAACCAGAAGGCTGGTGTTCAAACCCACCAGCCACTCTTCTGAAGGAAGATTGGGCAATCTATTTCCATAGAGATACTGCCTCGGAAACCCAAGGAGGGCTCACTATGAGTCGGAACCAACTCCATGGCAGTTTTTTTTTTTTTCGGTCAGCAAGTGCTGACAGCTGGATGTACTTCATACCTGCTTTTCCCTTCATTGTTCTCCTTAGAAACAGAACTGGACTTTGAAAAGAAATCAATAAATGACATTTCGTAAAGATACATATAAAATTGTATCTTTTTTTGGGGGGGCCTATGTTTTGGAGGTCATTTCTCTTTTATGTAGTTTTAATATGGCAGGCTCATTTGTTTTGTTTTTATTCAACAAATCCAGCAAATGTGTATTCTAAGCCTAGGCTTAATAACTCAGTTTTCCTAAATCATATAGGAACTGTGACTATTACTGTGATTTACTTTAATTTCTTTTATATATGCAATAGTGGTCTAAGAATGGAATTTATGCATACCTCATAAAGTCAAGTCAGTAGAGAACAAATAAACATGGACATATAAGTATAAATATAAATTTCCATATGGTTTATTGTTGTTCCTTGTACGTAAGAAACGGTAATATACAACTTACACTGCTTTAGAATGTAAAATGGATAAAAATGTGTACAAAAAAGCACATTCCTAGAAAAAGGTATTGGCAAATAGTAAAAACGGGGGTCAAAAGCAAAAAACAAATGAAAACAAAACAAAAAAAGGAGAAAAACCAACAATTCAGTGTGCAAACATTTTATAAAAATAGAAATACTAACTCTATAGGCAGTATTTCCTGATAAATTATTTAAATAGCATATCTACACAATCTGAGATATCTATTCCAAAGGCAATGAGAAAATAATTTATAAAAATAAAGCAATGGTATACAAGATGACAGGAAAAACAACGTAACTTTCAGAAATTGTATTTAACATTTCAATGCTATTTCCTTATTGGGAATACTTTTCTGCAAAGAATTTTTATACTATATACAACATTGACTTTTTTTAGGTACTACAGTAGCTTTAAGTTTGCTAGATACTTAAACTCTTTCTGCTTGATCCCAAAATTCTTTTCTCAGTCACACAACAAATGAGGTAATATTTGTATGTAAGTTTCACCTTTGTCATTTTTTTTTTTTTCTCTCTTGGAAAAATGAAAAAGAAAACAAAAAAGTGTATGCTTTTCTTCTCCCTGGAAATAGGCACATAGGATGGGGATAAAACCGCATGTAAAGACCTCATGGTTTTCTTCGTAACCTAAAAATACTTGCAAATGTATAACCAACTAAGTCCACTTGAAAAGACAAAACAGATAGACAGACAAAAAGAATCCCAAATCATTCACTCCGAGCACAAAGTGGAAGACAGCCCTGGTGCTGCTTCTCCCTGTGCCATACTTAGGATTTGCTGATACATCTCCACCACCTGACCTCAAACACTTTCCATACAAAATCTAAATTCCAGGTAGAACAGAGTTAATAAATAATCTGTATTTACAATCTTACAGTCATGAAGACTCATAACAAAGATGATATGGATAGTCCTTACGCTTCTTCCTGTTCCATGAATAGTCCTTCAGTCAGATCTTCCAGAATAGGTACAAAATAAATATTTTACATTGTAAAATGTCTTTAAAAAAAATCTACAGTTCAAAAGAGAATTGGAAAACTCCATTATATTCAGGAAAAAAAAAAAAGGAATGTTTTAGTTAAGTTGATAATAATTTTGTGCCTTTCTAACCATAAAAAGATAAGCACGGCTGCCTATCCCTTTGGGATGTAGCCTTGTGCTCACTGAGATGGTAGGTTTCCCATTTTCCTGCTACATCTGTACAAGCTACATCTGGAATAAAGTCAACAATTTCAATGTAATCAGGCAATAGCAGCCAGCACTGCCTTATACTGGTTTCATTCTGACTCCCTGTTCTGGCCACTACCGGTGATATGTAAGGAGTAGGGGCCAGGGAGGAAGTCCAGAAGCCAGGCTTTGCCTCCCTTCCCTGCATCTATGTAAGTGCCTCTTAATGTGGGTTAATCAGCTAACACCAGTCAGCATCATGAAATCCAACAACAGTTTTTCAATCCCCTGAAAATGATTAGTACCAAACATGTAACAGTTCCTCCATATTTTCTTCATACAATTGTCTCTTGGGTATACACCTTCCCCTTAGTGCTTTGGCCCCTGCTTGCCCTATTCCTGAGGGAGTATGTCAGGGGTGGTTGAGTTTGTGAATTCTAATGAGTCCTCCCTTCTCTCACAGGCCTGAAAATGCTGCTGAGTCGACTGCTCAGAGTTGGCCTCGCCATGGTGCCCTGCTCTTTGACAAAAGCAGAGTGGAGCAGGCATCTTTCCAACTGAAGCAAGGAGATGCTTGTGGTTTTTCAAAAGCAAGCCAAAAGTAATTGTTTATGATCTCGAAAGATGTCTTATTTGTTGGAGGATGAATGTTGCATCGCATTTTCTTGAGGCAGGTCATATGTCCTAGGAGTCCATACTGATGCAAGCAGAGAAAAAAGGAAGAAGGGAGGAGAGATCCTGGGTTTTCTTGAGCCCATGGTTCCAGAAGGTGCAATACCAGCATTGGCTGTGATCAGTCTTTGACCAACAGTTTGATGATTAGGAATCTGTTATATAAACAAACACATAAATAAATAAATAAATAAATAAATACAAATCCATTCTTAAAAGCGTTGCAATCCTAATACAGTTAATAACAATCTACATATATCTTTACTTTCCTAAAAAAAAAAAAAAAATATATATATATATATTAAGTGTCCCTTTATGTGGGTTAATCAGTTAACAAGTAATTTAAGATTATTTAAACACATTCACGTTTAATTTTGATAGCTGACACTGAGGCCAGGCAAGTGACACAGTATAATCTTCCAGAACGTATGCTATGCTTTCACAAACCTTCAATATTAAAACTTTAGAGAGTTTTATTTTAAAATATCAGACTCAAAAATGACATCATGATTAAAATATTTTTTGAGTAAACTTAGTCATCTTTCTTTACTCTGATCGATTTTACAGGCATCAACATTTATTAAGTGGTCATTTTGTGGTAGCTCCATTGCTGGACTTAGTGAGAGCTTAAGTTATCACTGCATGAAAGCGAATGAAGGAGTGAAACTAAGGTTAATAAGTGAAAATTAACAGGCCAGTATGAAGTCAGTACTCCTCTCCCTTCTTTGTATAATTTGTGCTGTGATGGCATGAAGAAAATTATGAGTAGTAGTGTTTAAGATATATAAACATGGACAATTTTGAAGTGTCATTGATATGGTCTAAATGGTACAGGAGCATGGCTACAGTTTACCTCTGCACTGTATGGAAAGCAGACATTGCTAAGCACATTCATATTGTTAATGACTCAAGTTCAGAAACTACACTTATGAAATAGGAATTGTTTCATTTTTATCATTGTGTGCTCAAAAGCAAAATATAAAAATAACCCTGTGTTTAAAAGTCTTAAATCACATTCCTATAATTGGCATTCTTGATATGCTTTGAATCAAAGATGGTAACTGGATACTAACTGATAATACTGCTCCTACCTCTACATTCATATTTCAGGTCGGAGAAGAACACCATTTCTTGAGAGAAGACAAACAACCCTAGCCTCCCACCGGCATAGGTTTTGTCATAGATGGGTCCTGAGTCAGCCATGATTTTCTTTCCTTCGTACATCACCACTCTACAGAAAAAAAAAGTCATTAGTGACACCCCTACTTTTTGATCTCCTCTTCCTTGCTAATCAGCATGAGTGTAAGTGAAATTTAATCAGTGCAATCTTACCTAATGAAGCCTGTCTTTGGCCTGTGGCTGAGACGCCATCTGTAGGCAGTGAAATCTTTCCAGCCTATGTGACGAGGGTCATGCCACAGGGTTCGCACCTGAGGGAAAAGGAGATGTTGAAACAGAGCTCCATCATGAGAATATTCATATTTTGTTCCATAATAAATGGTGCCTGAAAGGCACCAAATTGACCCAAATTAGAGGTTTGCAATGCAGACTTTTTCTAAAACTGCCTTAATTTGGTGCATGCCAATATACATATAAGGCACAAACAGAGAATGGAAAGGAGTGATTTTGTTTGAAGAGGCTGAAACTGCCTTTGGATCAGAAGGGTAACTCTTGGGCATAACAGCTCTCTTCTCAGACACTATTCTATTTTTACAAAGCAGAACTTAGTGCTGCAATTGGTGATGATGGAACCTTTATATTTAAAATCTCCGGTTGGCAGTCTTAGCCAAAGCACAGGGTCCACAGTGCTAAGCCAGCACCCATCAACTCTCTTCCTTCTCTAGGGCACAGCTTCTCACCTGGCCAGGGGTGTTTCCTGTGTGCCAGAGAGCGTTCCGCAGATGCTCGCCAGGCCCCGTGGTGGAGTTTACAACTTTCACAGAAAGGCCCGAGTATCCCTGAGCTCTTGTGGGGTTGGTGTCCCAGTAGGACTGAGTGACCTGCTTCCACATCACAACATAGAAGCGGCTGCTGGACTGGTAGCCAAACACAAATCCTGCATAGTCGTCATCCCTCTCAGTGTTGATGAAGAATGTGCCACTGAAGTCCACAGCATTAAACTCATCATAACCTGGAAGATGAGGCCAGTCCCCAGATTAAAACCGATTGCTTTCAGAAGGTTCTCTGTTACATTTCCAGAAATCCTTAGTATCCACAAAAACTACACTAAAGACACATGCAACTGCCAGGTTTTATATTTGGTTCTTTCCCACAAATGCATTGGGTTCTAAGAACTTACTACTCACCTACAGCAAGCCCAGGATCACAGTTGACAGTCTGGACAAGTTCTTTACCCTGATGGCGTACAACCCAGTTAGGATCATTTTGGGATGTTCCTTTGGGATCTAGAGGAATCATCTGGAATCGGCGGAAATCAGTCTCACTGATATCAACATTCTCAGGACAGATGTCATCGATGTCTGGCACACTGTCATGGTCAAAATCATCTTTGCAAGCATCACCTCGACCATCACCTAAGGTCAAAAAGGCAAGAGTACTGTGAAATTCTGAAATGCTGTTATTACTAGTGTCAGAAATACACTACATGTCAAAGTTGTCAATTAGTCTCATCATCATGCAACACATATACAGCTTCAGTTTTATTTCCTGAATCTAGAAAGCCAAGCCAAATGGTTTCAGTTAGTCTCTTAAAAAGTGGCTCAACTGACTCACCATCAGAGTCCTTCTGGTCAGGATTGGGCACAAGTCTGCAGTTGTCCCTGTCATCAGGAATGCCATCATTGTCATCATCATGGTCACAGGCATCTCCCTTGCCATCTTTGTCATGGTCGGCCTGGTTGGCATTGGGCACGTAGGGGCAGTTGTCTAGGTTGTTCTGGTGGCCGTCTTCATCAATATCCTGGTTGTTGTCACAGGTATCTCCAATGCGATCCGAGTCAGAGTCCAGCTGAAGAGGAGGCACAAAAGGAGGGTAAACTGAAGTGTAAATCATTAATGCGGAAGAAAACTAATGCCCCTAAAACAGGAAAAGGTCTCTAGTGGTTCTGGCCAAAGGAGTTTCACAGGTCTATTTGTAGACTACTGCAAAAAAACAGGAATATTAACATTTACATTTAAAGCTTTTCTTCTTGATCCTTGTTTTCATAGGATAATTTTAGAAAGTATATTTAAGTATTTTTGAAATCTAAAAATTTATAAATAAAATTAAAGTTATTAACTAAGGGTGGGATATAATGTTAACTGACTATATATATAAAACTATATATATTTATAATTATATATATAACAACAACAATAGTAAGTTAACATTATATATAATGTATATATAATAAAATAATATATATAATAAAGTGTGTGTGTGTGTATATATATATATATAATTTTTTTGGCATCCCTGGGTGGGCCTGAGTAACTGATTATATCTTAATGTGAATCCTATGAGTACACTTTGTTTTTTCCTTGAAGCTTTCAATTGTAAAATTGTTGACCATGTCAATTTCTGCTCTAGGTCATTTTATCATGGGAAAATGGCAGTGCTTTCCGTGCACACTGTCTAGGTAATTTGTATGATAGGGGTACATTATTTTGTTCTTAGGTACTTGATGTTATACATCTAGTCTGTTAATTCAGATAAAGTCAAAACTCTAAAATTTTTTCAAAGCTTTTTCTCTCATAGTCCTTTTATGTTATTCAGTGTGCATGGCACGTTTCAGGACTGTTTATACATAGATTGTAATTTTTCTTGCCAGTATTCATGTCCTTTGCTATAAGATTTTAATACAGTGCTTGAATTTTGCTATAAATTTTATTAGAGTTTGAAGAACCAAAACCTCACCTAGTGATATTAGATGCTGTTGAAAAAGTTTAGTTTATGCTAAGACCTAAACTCAAAATAGATGACTCTTTGTGTCAGCTGATCAACAAAGTTGTCCTGGATCATTCAAGCTTCCGAGTTATGGCCCCAATTCTACTTATCTTGCTCTTTGAGGTCTTATGACAGGACCTCGTAAGAATAAAAATCAGGAAGAAGAACTAGATTTTTCATTTCATTTCTTTAACCTTACAAAAATACTGTTAACTTTAAAAAACACTGGTTTCTAAGCTTATAGAACATTTTAAGGGGGGAAAAAAAGCCTACTTTTAACTTTAATTCCTAAAAAGTGATGATAGGCAATTAGACAAAAAAGAAATACTTTCAAACATGGAATGTGTTCTGGCTAATGTCTATCTGTAGCCTTCCTTAGCATGGGAGGGAATGATGTTAGTTATGGCAAACACTTCCAAAGAGTACGAGAAATGGGATTTCTCCATGTTTTGGAAATAGTTTTAGTCTGATAATTTCCTTACAGTCAGATTGTATCATTAGCCATTTATTTTGCATAAGGGTATTTTTTCCCCCAGTGTTTAGTCTTACCTATGATCATTATTATTCTAGGGTTGTATGTATCTTACTAGTATCAATGATAGGTCATGCTGGAAAAGTCAGTGGACCTTATTTTAAAAGAGAAGATTGAAGATACAAGATCCTCATGTTAAAGATGGGTGGTACTATTTGCAAGGAGCTCATGTAAGGTGAACTGTTAACATGAAAATATTGCAAATACCTATGAGAACATTGTGAACCCTGAGATGAAAGACCTGGGAAGCGGTATTTCAACACTTAAAGACTCTAAGGAGTCCACCTACCTGATCTGGATTGTGTTCCAGGGGGCAGTTATCACACTGATCTCCAACCCCATCCATATCAGTATCCCGCTGGTCAACATTGTAGACATACTGGCAGTTGTCTCTTTCATTGAGGATACCTACAGAGAACAAGGAACAAGTAAGAGCTGGAATTTCTTGATTCCTTGAATGTTTCAACCTAACTGCATACTAACAGCCAAGACTGGAGACAAGTTAGAGCAGGCTGAAAACTGAGCATGTCTGCCATCACCTAGGGCCTACTTGACAGAGGGCGCCTTACCATCGCCGTCAATGTCTGCTGCACAGGCATCTCCTTCCCCATTGTTGTCTGTGTCAGCCTGATCTGGGTTGTGGTTGTAGGGGCAGTTGTCACAGCGGTCTCCCACGTCATCTCTGTCATAGTCATACTGGGCTGGGTTGTAATGGAATGGACAGTTGTCCTATAAAGAGAAGAAATGGATCACTCTACAACTTGGCCAGTGAAACCAGTTCAAGCCTTAAACCATGTGCACAATAATATAAGAATTACAAAAAAACTGCAATAATTAGGTACTGCTTAGTGGATACACTAATTTAGGACTCAGTGTAAAATGATCATGTCTAAGTTATTAAAAGCTAGGGCACAACATGAAACGGATTCCTGTTGGTTACAGGTCAGCAAGGCATACAACATAACGTCATCATCTCAGTTCTCAGCGTGCCCAAAGTAAACTTCCATTGTAATCCATATATGACATTTAATATAGGCAGCAAAGTGCCATTTGTTTATCCATTATAATTTCTTGCTCAAAGGGGGATTTTTTGTTTAAGTGGCTGTGATAAAATGAAATACCCATTTAAAAATTTTCTTCGCAATATCTATGTACTCAAGCTACTGAAATACAATGAATACTTTTTAAATTTTCCTAGATATTGATTCAGTTTCTTTATAACATTGCAATCTCCTTGAATCCTAAGGTGTTTTAGGTTATTAGGCTGTTGGGCAACAGAAAAGATGAAAGGAGAAAGGAAACACTTTGTTTTTACCCGATCATCTGGAATCTTATCATTGTCATCATCATTATCGCAGGCGTCACCAATTCCATCCTTGTCATAATCTTCTTGCCCTGAGTTGGGAAGGTTAGGGCAGTTATCCTAGGAGAGAGGAGACATACATTACAGTTACAGCTTCCGTTATATATATATATATATATGGGTACATACACACAAAAACCTTTTCTTAAGGATACACATAAAAAATTTGGATTAAAAACTCTTGCCTTTATATATGCTGTGAACAGAACTCATACTCTGCTGGTATTTGGTGGTGCAGTGAATGTTTATGGACAAAGGAATCAACTATGGAACACAATTGCTAAAAGGGCCTGCATGTTCAAGTTCTTGGCACAAGTGAACTCAGACTGATGAGAACTAGTGTCACTCTGCCTTTGGGTGCTTTAATCTTTCAGCCATTTTTAAGCTTTAAACATTTAAGATTGCTTGGCAAGCTCTTTTGATAAGGGTAAAGCTAACTTCTTTATAAAGGTACATAAAGGAAGCTGGGTTTACCTTCTTGCAGTGGTACGTTGCATTGGCCACACAGACCAGGTCCTCATTGGGCCAGCCGTCGAGGTCTGTGTCCTCCCCACAGATGATGCCATTGCCTGCATAGCCGGGCTTGCACTCACACCGGTACATGGGGTCACTATAATGGCCAAGGTAGTTGCACTTGGCATTCTTGTTGCAGTCATGTGTCCCATCCGTACAGGGGTTGCGGGGCTTGCACACCTGAGTACACAACATCCTGAGGTTAACCCAGAGACTTCAAGAGTCTTCCAGATACCATGGAATCAAGAGGAATCCAGATACCCTCTTGTCTCCAAGTAGATGCTCCATGTAAAAGAGTATGGTCTTATCCTCCATGGGGATGTCAGGCTACAGGCTAACATTGCTCTCTATTGCTCTGGACATAAGCATTTACAAATTCACTGGCCACAAATTATTCCAGAGCAGTACTTCTGAATGTGGTGGACTATTTTTCCCCTGTTGGATTCACCAAAAATTTTCTAGTCATTTTTTTCTAAAACTACATTGTATATTCATCCTCCTCTCATTTTTATTTTTTTTTCCTATATGAAATTACATTCCTTCCTTTCCTCACCGTTTCTGTAAAGGACACCACTCCTCTAGTTTACTCATCGAGTCTACTGTACCTGTTTGTTGGCAGTGGCATGTTCAACGCCCCGGCCAAAGGGCTGTGGGCCCGTGAAGCGAGGTGGGCAGGGCAGGCAGTTGTAGCCAGGATCTGTGTTCTTACACCTGTGCTCTCCATTGTGGTTGAAGCAGGCATCAGGCACTTCTTTGCACTGTGGAAGAAATGACAGTTTGCCCAATGTTTGGAAAACACTGCCCTAAGGAAATGACTAGGAGAAGCAAGCTGCTTTCTGGGATGGAGTAACTCTGAGCCATCTGTTCCTCACCTCATCGACATCTGTGCACTGGATGCCATTTCCACTGTAACCTGCTGGGCAAGCACCACATTTCCAGCTGCCGTCGGGGTAGCTAGTGCACTTGGCTCCAGCGAAGCAAGGGTTGGACAGACATCCATCTGAGACAAGGAGAGAGAGACAAGTGAACAGTTAGTCTAAGCTTCTGATACTACCATGAAGGTCTGGGAAAAAACAATACAGTGTAAGTTAGAGTAGGGTCTATGTAACTCAACTTGTTGTTGTTGTTGTTATTTGCCGTCAAGTCGGCCCTGACTCATAGCGACCTCTCCTTGGGTATATTGAGATTATTTATCTTCCTGCATTTTAGAATCATCAAAACCACTAAGGACCAAAGTTGAGCCACTCTGAATGCTGTGATATTAGGTGACGTAGACTTAACAGCTCTTATAAGGGTTGTTTCTCTCTGGGCTGCGGGGCTCACCAATTGGACAATCCTGTTTGTTGCAGATCTGGTTTTCCGTCACATCACCAATGCAGTCCTTGCCTCCAAACTGGGGTGGGGGGTTGTTGCAGAGCCGGCTACGTTTCTGCAGTCCTCCTCCACAGGTGACAGAGCAGATGTCCCATGGTGACCATGGACCCCAGCCTCCATTGACTGTAGGAGAACAAACACATGGCAAAAGTGAGGTTAATTTCGAAAAAAAAAAAAAAAAATCTGTCACAGAAGATTCCTCTAGACTGTTGAAGAAATTCTGCTATCCCAATGTGAAAAAAGAATGTTTGAGAAGAGGGTGAGTCTGAAAGGGCTTTTATTTTCTGTTTTTCGTTAGAAGAAGCTGCTGAGCATGCAGGATTTGCTTCTGTTTGTTTCTCTGGTAAGCAGCCCTCCCACCCCCATGACCTGCAGACGCCAGGGCACCAGCTGGGCAGCAGCAGCTGCTCTGTGCTCAGCCCTGCAGCAGTGCTCACACTCACTTGGGCAGGCGTCCTTCTTGCAGGCTTTGGTCTCTCGAGCTTCACCTTCACATGGCCTCCCATTCATCTGGGGGCTGGGAGAGTTGCAGAGCCGGATTCTTGTGATCACACCATCACCACATGTCACAGAGCAAGACGACCATGGGGACCAGTGGCTCCAGCCACCATCCTGTTTAACTAAAGTACAAAGCTGATGGTCACAAATAGTGCTGGCTTAGAACCAGTGAAACAGCAGCCCTCCTCAGGGAATAGAAAAATATTTTCAGGGTATGGTCAATGGCAAGTAAGCTTAGTGTGTAGCAGAAATTGGCTCATGGGCATGTATCCAAATGCCAACGTGGCACATTTTCTATTAGAGAGCAGATAATGTTTAGCTATCTTTGTGGGATGATGTTAATATAGTGATCTAACATTACCATGAGCTAGGCTATGTGCTGTTTTACACATATTATTTAAATAAAATCTTTGAAACAACCCTGTTAAGCTCTGTTCTCAAGGTTGCACAGGTAAGTGGCAGAATTGGGATTCAGATCTAGAGATTCTAAATCCTGTCCCCCTAATCTCTATGCCCTGGTGCCACTCTTGGTGATGACAATAAGGTCAGACCAGTTCTTCACATTTCTAAGTGGCCAGGATGCTTACATCTCTTATCACACTCCTGAATGTGGCAGGTCCGCGTCTGGACTGAGGAGCCCTCACATCGGTTGTTGAGGCTATCACAGGAGCGGCCACGCTGCTGAATTCCATTTCCACATGTCACAGAGCAGGAGGTCCACTCAGACCAAGGAGACCAGCCATCATCAGCAGAGTCGCTGGCTGCCAAGGAAACAGAGGTTGTTTAGTGCATGGTCATTAAGCCAAGCTTTTTTTTTTTTTTTTTTTAAACAAAAGGTATATATATTTTTTAAAAGTATGCAAAATATACAAAAAGCATACAAAAGAATATACAGAAAATAAGTATTTATTTAGCACCCACTACCGCTGTTAGGGAGCTCTGGTAGCATACTGCCTAAGGCACTTGACTGCTAACCAGAAGGCTGGCGGTTCAAACCCACCAGCCACTTCTCAGAAGGAAGGTTGGGCAATCCTACTTCCACAGTGATACTGCCTTGGAAACCCAAGGAGGGGTCGCTATGAGTCAGGGCCGACTTGACAGGAAATAACAACAACAACAACAACTGCTGTTAGGGGAACTCTGGTAGCATAGTGCCTAAGGCACTTGACTGCTAACCAGAGGGCTAGCGGTTCAAACCCACCAGCCACTCCTTGAAAGGAAGATGGGGCAATCTAACTTCCGTAGTGATACTGCCTTGGAAACCCAAGGAGGGGTTGCTATGAGTCGGGTTCAACTCAACGGCACATAACAACAACATTGCTGTTAGGTACTACTGAGTTGGTTTTGACTCACAGTGACCCTACGTATAACAGAATGAAACACTGCCCAATCCTGTGCCAGCCTCACAGTCCTTGTTATTTTTGAGCAACTATGCCAATTCCTCTTGTTAAGAGTCTTCCTCTTTTTTGCTGACCCTCTACTTTACCAAGCATGATATCCAAGACAAACTATTCTTTAGACTTCTCTGTTTAGAATTTTCTTCCTTTGCCAAAGGGTGAAAATATATATTTCTAAGATAAAAGCCAAAGGCTTTGTCCCAGGTGGTACATTTATAGCATTGGAATAATGGAATGCTTTGCCTGGATCAGTACAGCTGAACCTTTTCAGTTGTGTATGCTCTTATTCATTGCTTCCAGGTTTCTCCTCTTAGCATTTCAAAAGAGTTTCCCTTTACCAGCTTAAGGTATCTGGGCAGGCACTTTCCAGTCTCAGGCTTCTAAGAATATGAGACTATGGCAGCTTATAGGAGTCCCTTCTGACTTTCAAAGGAGCCACAGAGCACATGTTTTGACAGATGAGTTTGAAGGCAGCTTAGTGGCTGTTTGTTGACTTTGACTCCAACTAGGTCATGAGGTTAATCAACTTGTTGCTCCTCTTACCCTAGAATTTTACATCTTTTTTGCACAAGAGAACACATTTATTTACCATCCACTCAGGCACCATGACTATAACAACAGTAAACTGTACCAAACAGAATAGAAAGAACTTGTTTTCCTTTGCCATCAGTTGGAAGTTTTCCCAGCAATCCCTGACTCAAGTTTAAAACTCTGCTAGCTCCCAGCTAGCCTTTTTCCCTTTAACCCAGACTTCAAATGAATGCTGAGCAAAGTGAGGTGCAAATGTTATCATTACATGGGACCATGTTATATGTGGCCAATGTATATGCATGTGTGTGTGTATGAGTGTGTAGTGCAAATGCTACTTTCTTGTTTTTTTCTTTATCTTAGTTGTGATGATGTAGCTCTGGTAGCATAGTGTCTAAGGCACTTGACTGCTAACCAGAAGGCTGGTCGTTCAAACCCACCAGCCACCCCTGGGAAGGAAAGTTGAGCAATCTACTTCCGTAGTGATACCGCCTGCCTCAGAAACCCAAGGAGGGGTCGCTATGAGTTAGGGCTGACTCGAAAGCCCATAACAACAAGTTGTGACGAATCCTTTTTAAGACTTGTGCCTAGTATATTAAATACTGTCTCAGCCAAGTGATTAATTTATACTGGCAATAAAAACCAGGAATAGGGTGCCATGGCACAACATAGTAACTTATTTCTTTGAATGCCCTAGAACTCAAACTGCTGTTATTCTGCCAGGCCTCCTATTCCTGCAGATAAAATGAGCTAAACCTATAGGCCCAGTTAAGTCCAATGCTTGTATCACTTATTCACTTCTTTGGTAAGCAGATTTCCTTTGTTTGGGTGGTGCAGTGGTTAAGGTGTTATTCTGCTAACCACAAGGCTGGTGGTTTGAACCCACCAGTTGCTCCATGGAAGAAAGATGGGGCAGTCTGTTTCCATAAAGGTTTACAGTCTTGGAAACCCAACGGGTGTTGCTACGAGTTGGAATCGACTTGATGGCAGTGAGTCAATTTATAGCATTGCTGCTACATTAACAATCTCTTCTTTCCTCAAAGCATAAAATCAGAATCAGTAAGCTATAGCAAGGTCATTATCGCCTGTACTGTCATCCAGATGGGTAATCAAGGTTTAGTCATAATGAGATTTTTGGCTCTGTATAGCAGACAAGCTATCAGTGAAACCAGCTGCTGCAGCAAGAAACAGAAGGCAAACATGTGATGGAGACAGGGGTGGGGTTCCAATGTTCTGCTCAGCTGTCTAGGATGTACACAGACCTGACCTAGTACTAAAGAATGGTTATGTAGTTTTAGGAACTTACGCCAACACCGTGGGCAGCATTCTCCATCAGGAACTGTCGCGTTAGAGCAGGGCATAATGGGGCAAGACACTTTTTTGCAGATGGTAACTGAGTTCTGCAGGCAAGATGGAGGGGGAAACTGGTTACTAAACATACTGCAAACACAAGTCACATACTATAAAATTTCAATTGTGAGCTGAAACACGGTCAGGGCTATAAATGCTCTAATGGAATGACTTTAGTAGAAGATCTGTCTCTGTTGCATTTGCAGCTTCCACTACTGCGAGACAATTTGTGTGCTAGTCACTTGTCACTCCATTCCATGGGGAGTTCCTTCTTACTTAATTCCTACCCAAAGGTGGAAGTTACAGCATGAACAATTTATTCAAGGGAAACCACCAGACATCATGGGTCAAATCTATTGAACTCGCCAGATTTGGTTGGGACTTCTTCATTTTTATATTTTATTTAAGGGGAAAAAAGGAAACCTATTAGCACTGCCTTTCTCATCTGTAGATCTGGCTTTAATTTACACTGGAGAAGAATGGGAATTTAATGAAGATGGCAGTCAAATCCATCAATCCGTGATTGGTATTTAAGCTGACTTGGCTCTATGAGCCAGGTAAAAGCTTAAAGGCACCTGCTGCTGGCCTGGAGAGAGCTAGAGAGAAACATAACTGCAGGCAATGCCATTTCATCTAAGTAGACAGTTATGTCCTAACAATGTTGGGTTAAGGGATTTGAACAACCATAAGTACTGTATTAAACTGTGTCAGAGTGAAATACAAATCAGGATTAAGATAAAAGAAAAAAAGGAATGCTCCAACAAGGTTTTATTTACCTGGCATTCAACACAGCTTTTGAACTAAAGCAGGTAAATTACTCAGATGTCTTAGATTTGTTCTCTTAGATACTTAGCCTGGGGTATAACGAAGACTTTGAAAAACCTTCTAAGGTTTTGAAGAATTTAAAGATGTCATAATTACATCTTAAATAATAATAACCCCCCCCACACCACCACCACTACCCCCCCCCCCACACACACACACAATCTACTTTGGTATCAGGCCAGAGAACATACAAAGAACTGGTGTGGCTATTTGGGTATTTCCCTAGAGACTGTGACTTCAGATTCATGCTACCAATCCTGACTGCAGTCTGTAAAGACCGCTTACCTGACAGCGACACTCGGTGCAGCTGTCCACAGTCCATTCATCGTTATTCCTGTACTGAACTCCATTGTGATAACAGAGGGGAGACCGCCTCAACTCATTGGCCAATTCCTTGTTCTCTTCAGTCTAAAGGAGGGAGAAAGACCATTAGTGCTTAACCTCATTTTCAATTCTTTGGGATCGGCAGTGAGAAAACTTCAAGGGTTTATGCCAAGGGGCTGGAAGCAGAGGCCACTGACCACTTTGCGGATGCTGTCCTGAAGTGTGGTCACAATGGTGCGCAGGCCCTTGAGTTCCAGGACCATGCTGGACAGCTCATCACAGGAGATGCCGCAGATGGCCTGCAGATCTTTTGTTTTGTGGCCAATGTAGTTGGTACGGATGGCAGGGCTGGAGCCATTTACCACGTTGTTGTCTAGAGTGAGGAGGACACTGGAAGCTGCCAAGAAACAAAAGGTAACAGAAGATCTTCAAACAGATGCTCTCTCTGGCCAGTCGCTGGAGGTCTTAGCTGTAAAAGACACTTTTCCTTTGGGACCATAGGGTGTGGAATACCCTTTGAGGTCTCTTTTATAGACCTGGTAACCATGTTACCCAAGGGGAAATCATGCACAATCACCACTGTTTAAGTTTCTCAGTTTGTCTGGGTGGAATTCCCTCGTTTTCTCCATTTACACTAAAAATAGATGGGTACTCACAGCTGGAGCAGCCTTTGTTTCTGAGGATGTCTTCTGGTGTGGTTCCGAAGACAAACCTCACATTCTGCAGCACCCCCTGTGGACAGAGGACACACATTACGTGTAAATGTTGGAGGAGGGAGGAAAGCTGTCCCTTTATGTTATGAAAACCACACAATAGATGCTCTGAAAGTTGAAAAAGAGCTCCATGCTGAGATCACTATGCCAAAACAAAACATTAATATCAGCTGCCAAACAACTTCAAAATCTCAATGGTGTCTTCTGCCAAGTCTTCAGTGTTTTACAAAGAATTCAGTTATCAGCCCACTCAGATATACAGGAAATGGAACCCGATACTAAGTCCAGAGAATATAATGCAACTTTCTAGTGTCAAAGAGTTAAAAGTGGGAGTTTCAAAGCCACAGTTGCAAAGATCTAAAAGTTTAGGCAAGGAACAAGCTGCAGCAACACATAACCACATCTTCCATTTAACCTTTTATTTGAGACTGGCTACACTGCTGGGAAGGAAGATTGGGCAATCTACTTCTGTAGTGATACCACCTCGGAAACCCAATGAGGGGTTGCTATGAGTCAGATCTGACTCGACGGCAGTGAGTCTGTTTGTTAGACATCCCCATGAGGACTCTAAAAGCCAAGTAATATTTATTCTGTGCATACAAAATAGCCATTTCAAGCGATATTAAAGTCTGGAATGCATTTGAAATAAGGAGCACTTAAAGCTTTAATAAAGTGAAAGTTGTAGAATAACCATTTTTTTTTTTTCCCTTTCGTGGTTTTCAGTGTGTCCCCAGACTGCCAACATCTGCATCAGCATCAGCTGGAACTTATTAGAAATGCAAATTCTCAGGCCCACTGAAGACCTACTGAGTCAAGAACTTCAACAAGGCTGCCAGGTGATTCTGACGCTCCCTGTGGTTTGAGAACCACTGCTCTTAGTCTACAGACAATTTTTCCTGTACTGAATATCCTGTTCCAGCTGACAGGTCAACTGGCTAGCAGATGAGACCAGGGACTCAGAGAAATGGCCTCACCTGGAAATTGTCATTGACGCCTCCTTTTGCAATGCGGAGTCTGGCAATGCTGGCCAGGTCCCTAGTGAAGATGCTTTGGATGGGGACCTCTAGCTCAGCATTTTCCATCTTCTCACAGTCTATGTACAACTGGGCCCTGTCCTCCTGCACGAACAGGGTGATACTCTTCCACTGGCCCGTCGCTAAGAGTGCTTCTTCCACTGACACCACATGCTGCTTCCCCTGCACAGTTAGGCTCAGGTCCAGGGTGCCCGCCTTGCCATTGGAGACCACGCTGAAGATCTGGCCAGAGTGGTCTTTCTGCTCCAGGGCCAGTAGGGTGCCTCGGGTCTTCTTCATCTGTCTCAAGGAGGCCAGGAGAAGGAACCCTTTCTCTGCCCGCACAGCATCCACTAGGTCTTGGAACTTATCATCAGGGACAGGGGGGATCAGGTTGGCATCCTCAATGCGGAAAGCTGGGCTGGAGGGGTCAGGGCCCTTGACCAGCCGGCGCCCAGAGCCCTTGCGGGCAGCTCCAGTGAGTTCAAAGATGTCAAACACGCTGTTGTCTCCCCCAGACTCTGTTAGACAAGAGCAGGACACACATGAGTTTTCTTGACTAGGGACAAGGGCAGGGGGTGGGGGCTCAGCTCTGAGGGGTAGGGCCAGAGGAACAGGGTGAAAACTCCTGGCAACCACTGAGACTGTAGCATAAACACAAGGATTGGAAGCTCACGGCTCAGGGGAAGACAGCTGGGAGAGGAGAGAGAGCATGGGGGTGAGAGGTTATCCCTAAGTATTCAAGCTTGGTCCAGAACACCTGTGTAACCAGCACCTCCTCCTCTTCCCTCCTCCCCCTGAAATTATTACAGACTCACCTGGAATGCGGTTGGTGCCACACACTTGCAGCAGGAGTAGGACACTGAGTCCCCAGGCCAGCCCCATGGTGGAGCTGTTGGTGCCCAGCAAGAAGCCTGCAGTAGGAAGCACAGAGCCACAGTTAGAGATGCAGCACGGACTGTGGGCAACCACTGGGGGCTGGGCTTGGGGCCAACCAACCGGGGCTCCTTCTTTGGCCCGGCTTCGCTGGAATGAGGCACTAAAGAATTGAGTTTTCAGTGAGAAATCAGGAAGAAAATGGGAGAGCTAGGAGGAGACGTTGTGGTTTTAAAAGTATGGGGGACAATGGCCAGCAATCTGGGGTCTTTTTCTTGGGAAGCAGGAGAAAAAAGCAAGGTCAAGAGAAGTAGTTTAGGGGACCCCCAAGAACACAGGAAGAGCAGTCTTCCCTACAGAAATGATATAAAGGTTTGAGAGCGCTTGGAGAAAAGAAGGAAATTTTGGGGTGTCCTCCCACAGTTGGGTTCTGAGCCCCACGGCTGCAAAAGATGGCTCTAGAGTCTATCCCCAAAAGAGCTCCCCAGAGGCCAGGAGGGAGAGGATGGGTAAGACGAAGGGAGGCAGAATGAGATCCGAGGGTCCACTGAAGGGCTGTTCAAAGCCTCAGGGAGCACAGGTCCTTGGCCGCTGGCCGGGGCGGCAGGGAGTGCTTACCTGTATGGACGCGGATGCAGCTGCCGGGAGTGGCGGCGCAGGGAGAGGCCTGGAGAGACGCTGGAGCGGGCGGTGTGCCCGGGATGGCCGAAGCAGGAGTGGGAGGCTATGCCGAGAGAGATCGCAGGAGCCCCAAACTCACCGCCTGGCTCTAGTGCAGTGGCTACCGAAGCGGTGGAGCCGCGCGCTTTTATAAAGAGTCGCTCACATTCCTGGGGATTCCTCTGGCCAATGGGCGGCGACTGGGCAGGAAGCAGAGGGGGGCCAGTCTGGGTTCCTCTCTCCGCCCCCCGCTGCCTGGCGCACAACTTTCCAGCTCGAAAGTGAAGAGGGGGAGGCAGGGGTCGCGGGCAGAGAAGCCCTGCGACTTATCCCGGCACCTGTGCCCGCCCACGCAGCTGGGGCGCGCATCGGCCCAGCACTCGGGCTCTTGCGCCATGCGGGCCCTATTTGTTAAGTGTGAGCATTCCGAGCAGTGACCAGAGGTTGGTAACCCACCCAGGACCCTTAGAGAGGCTTTCAGGCAAACCCGCCTCCTGGAATGGCAACGCGATTGCTGAGGAGTGTGAACACTTGCAGAAGGTGTCCATTTGTAAAAAAAAAAAAAAAAAAAAAAAGAACTTGACGGCAAATGGCACCAAGAGAGACAGTCGTTAAAGAACACATCTCTTGGATACTTGTCGACTGGCCTTCACCCATCCAGGTGGGGTGGAGAGACCACCCACCCAGGCCGGGGGCTGATGGGCGGAGAGCGTCGAGCCGCGCTCCTGTCCTTTGCCTGACTCACTACAGGAGGTGAGTGCGGTGTCGCTCTAGGACAGCAGGGCCGTTGCACCTAGCGCGCATTCACACCGCCCGAAGGCACACACTTTCCCGCAAATGCCACTAGAATTGCTGAGAAACTTGCTGCTGCAAATTGTTACAACGGTTCCACAATTAGCCGCTTGGGGGCGGTATGCGAATTCTGATGAGTTGCCGGAGAGGCCTGTCTTTCTAGTCAGGAATTTAAAGAAAACCTTTTCGTATCCAGTTCCCTCAAGCCAAAAGTGAAATTATGTCTTGAAAAACAGCTTTTGTGCCCACTCGTGCTTCTTAACGTGACTCCTGGTTAGAGAATTTGCAGAACCATCTGGCCTCAGAGTCTTAAACTATTTACAGAACAAACCCATAGAGTAATAAATTGCCCTCTGCCTATCATTTTATTTCCCCCTTTCCTCGCAAAACGTTCTTTTCATTTTTCGGCTCCTGAAACCGAGGTGTGGGTTACATTTCTGTGGATGCACACATTGCCATAAGAGCTGTTGGCTAATGTTTCTGTCATTGGAAGTCTGGTCTCCAAGCCACTGTCCCAAGCCAGCATGACTCCAACTGCCTGGAATTCCATTCATCCCTTCGGGCTGGGACGTCAGCTTCCCAAGCTGTGGTCTAATGCTATCTCGCCGGCCCTGAGACACAGGACGCAGGTACTAGCTTCACCAAATAAGGATCTCAGCCTCAGGCCTGGGTAACACTTTGGCTCCACCTCCCCTTTTTAGTGCTTAAAATTGGCAGAACTCGTAACTTCTGGAAACACTCATGAGTTTACGTTCATCAAATAGCAATTTCACTTTTCTTGTGTGGGAGTGTTGTGTGACAAGTTGCTTGTGTGTGTTTATGGATTATGAGGTGAGTGGTTTCCAGTTACTAAAGTACCTCTAGAAGATGACACGCTTGTTCCAAAGAGACATTTGTTTGTTGCTTAAGTAATAACTCTTGACAGTCACAGAGATTTCAGATGTTGAGAGGCAGAAATAAAAGTTTCTATGGGATGATTAGTCAAATCAGATTCCTGTCCTGGAAGTCATGAGTAATGATTCATCTGAGCCAATCTGAAGATTACAGAGTAAGTAGCCATGCATATAACCTCCCCCTGCTTCCTCCTTCCCCAACTTCCAGTTTGCTCCTTGAAAGGTGATTTTTTTTTCCTCACTTGCTATTAATTCTTCATGTGATACCTGGCACGTAGGAACAGTTCATAGAAGAATGGCTAGCTAATGGCCCACAGGCTTCCATTTGATAATATTATACAGATTAGATTGGGAGCTCTGGTGCATAGTGGCTAAGGCACTTGACCGCTAACCAGAAGATGGCGGTTCAAACCCACCAGCCACTCCTCGGAAGGAAGATGGGCAATCTACTTCCATAGTGATACTGCCTTGGAAACCCGAGGAGGGGTCGCTATGAGTTGGGTCCCACTCGACGGCACATCACAACAACAACAACAATACAGATTAGATGAGCGCTTCTCGGTCCACAGGAGGCGCACAAAGCAGGAAGTACCTTTCCTTAAAAGACTGCCTCCTCTTTGTTTAGCTGAATGGAGGGAGGAGAAATAAACATGTGACTGAGCGACTGTAGAAATGTCTTCGGAGTTTTCCTGGAAGTTGGCTTCTTTCAACAAAACGAGGAGAATAATTTTAATGTTCTACAAGCTTTACAAATAGAAAGATGACTTGGATTATGGTAGGGAAGAGCTTTATTTTCAGAGAAAGCTGACAGAAGTATAGCCAGTTATTCTCAAGTTGACTTTGATTCCTGGTGACCCCATGTGTGTCAGAGCAGAACTGCGCTCCATGGGGTTTTCAGTGACTATTTGGGATTAGATTACCAGACCTTTCTTCTGAGGCACTGCTGGCTGAGCTCAAACTGGCAACCTTTTGGTTAGCAGTTGGGCCTATTAGCTGCTTGCACCACCCAGGGACCTGACAGAAGTATAAGAGTTATTTATTTATCTCAAACACAAAGCCCTTTTCCAACTCATAGTTTTCCATTTGTTCTAGTGGAAAGAAGAATTCTAGTGAAAAAGACATAGGGAAAAGTTTAGGCAGCTGTTAGGAACTCACCCACATCCCTGCTGGTCAATGAGTGCTACAAATATTTGCCAGAAACCTCATATTCCTCTGGGAAGCTTTGGAAGATACAAGATTGGAAAGAAGGGAAAGAAAACCTATCAACTTTAAGGTGGGAGGCACTGTCCCATGTGTGTGTGTGTGTGTGTGTGTGTATGTATCCTCAACCTGGAAGTGCTGGGATTTTAGGTCAATAAACTGATGTGAACCTAAATGATGGGCCTTCCAGGGAGAAAGTCTAGAAAGTCTAGCCTTCTCTTTGACAGATTGTCATTCTTACGGATTACTTACTGACTTGAACATTACTTAAAATAAAATTGTAAAGCATATGACATTTCTGCTGTAAAATTTCATTTTTCCAAGTTCCTCTAATTGGAGGTGGGACTGACCTGAATACATTGCCAGTAAATGAGAAGAAAGACTGTAAGTAGCAGCTAGGTAAAAAATTGGATGTGATTAAGCATAGCAAGGCAATTGAGAAAAAATATTCTGTTTGTTTATCGAAAAACATCAAGAAGAACTGTGATTTTGTGCAGGGATTGAAAAAATTGCTTGATGTGTTCAGCTTTGGAAAATTTCTTAGAGGTGAGCTGCAAAAAAATCTTTAGAATTGTACTCTAGAATAGTCTAAAATCATAGCATCTGCAAAAATGCAGACGTCATAAATTCATCTCTGGATAGTTTCCCTAGATCCTGGATCAAAGTTGTTTTAGTTCAGCTACCTCAATGGTCAGAGCCAGAGGAAATTGCCAACAAATATTTCTTATGTTTTGATCAAACACTGACTCAAAGCTCCCCTCCACCATATGTCTTCCAGTGGCTTTATGTTGCATTGACTCTTCTTTATGTAAAACTGTGAAACATATATTATCTCTAATCTTACACTGTGGTTTTTAGATTAATTTTTGTTTTCTTGTGTGTGATAACCAGACTGTAAGTACCCAAAAGACTTGACTTGGGAAGAATCCTTACTTTTAATGAGCTCTTTTGAATCCCTTTGTGCTGCAGTCACTTTGTAGCATGGAAGGACCAGAGTACTTTCCATTTCCTGACCAGCTAGATACCATTTCATGCAATTGTGACTTAGCCCTTGGGATAAACATTATGATTAACTCCCTAAGATTCTACCCTTCCACCAAGAATTGAAGCAATACTCTTGGGGAATTGATCTCAGTGGAAGGGGGTAGAACTATCAGTTTAAAGTTAACTTCCCTCCTCCATCAGTGACTAGTTTGGGAATTTATGTGACCAAATTCTGGTCAGTGAGAGGGTTGATAAGGGCTTCTGAGAAGAATTCTTCCTTGCTCTTAAGAAAAAAACCCATAAAGCCACACCTGTCACCAATGAGTAGATTCAGACTCATTGCAATCCTTTAGGACAGTGTAAAACTACCCCACAGGGCTTCCAAGGCTGTATGTAGCCTTTATAGAAGCAGACTATCATATCTTCCTCCCACAGAGGAGCTGGTGGGTTAGTACCACTGACCTTTTGGTTAGTAGCTGAGTGCTTTAATCATCTGCACTACCATGCTAGGAGCTCTGGTAGCATAGTGCCTAAGGCATTTGACTGCTAACCAGAAGGCTGGTGGTTCAAACCACTCCTAGGAAGAAAGGTTGAGTAATCTACTTCTGTAGTGATATGGCCTCAGAAACCCAAGGAGGGGTCGCTGTGAGTTGAGTCCGACTCAATGGCACATGGCTGCAACAACAACCATGCTCCTTGCTCTTAAGAAAAAAATCAAAATCAAACTTGTTGCCATCGAGTTGATTGCAACTTATAATGACCCAATAGGACAGAGTAGAACTGTCCTATAAGGTTTCCAAGGCTGTAAATCTTTATGGAAGCAGACTGCCTCATCTTTCTCCCTCAGAGAACTTGTAGTTAGAGGCTGACACTTTTAACCACTATGTCACTGGAGCTCTTAAGGGAGAGCCATGGGAAATCAGGCTTTCTCTGTTTCCATTCAGTCATGAACATGAATGCTGATAAGCTGTGTTTGGTGCTTTGGGCCATAAACCAAAAACCAAACCCACTGCCAACTAGTCGATTCCTACTCATAGCAACCCTGATTGGGTTTTTGAGGTGGTATATCTTTACAGAAGTAGATTGTCCGTTCTTCCTTTCCCAGAGCAGCTGGTGGGTTTGAACT